CTGTAGGCAGCTTCTAAATTGTTGACTTTTAGCTTCCTTGTCTCTTGACCCTTATGGGCCATGAGGGAAGGGCTCACTCTGTTTCATCCCATTGTGCTTACAGGATTTTTGAAGTGAAGCATCAGCACAGGAAGGTGGAAAACCAGATCAAAATGGCCAAGATGGTCCTGATGAATGAGCTAAACAAACAGGCCAATGGACTCATAGAGGAGTTGGAGGTATATGTAGACAGATGGATCAGATGGATGAGTTCTATGCTCTCCTGGATCAGAGACCAGGCATATATGAAACTAGTCCCAGGGCCCAAAACATCTGGGGCTAGAATTCAGATATGCAGTTTCCATAGGTCTCTATTACTTGTGTATTAAAATTTCTAGTCTAATTTTGGGAAGATGGCTCATTAAGTGCTATGAGATCAGTTCAGACTTTCAGTTCAAACTCTCTTAGGCAGCTGCCATCCTTGACTGTTCAAGGTTATAGATTTAGAAGTGTCACAAAGCAGCCCATCTTCTTCAGTGGGTTATTCCCAAGAGATGTAGACATTCATTTATTTCCTCATTCTTTATCCATTGCATATTTGCCACCATCTCTCCCTTCCTCTACCTGTCAGTAGCCCATGGCAGCACTTTGTCCTGCTGTTCTTCTCTCAGGGGTACAATCTCATCTGACTCCATCAGTGCTTACACTAATACACACAGACCATTAGAGTTCCCAAGCAGGCCTAAGAACAAGATCAGAGACTGTGTCTTCTCTCTCTGCACCAAGGGCATTACTAATGAGAGAAAGCGGAAGCTGGAACAGCAATTACAGAGCATTGTGGTTCTCAACCGTCAGTTTGAGCATGTGCAGAATTTCATCAATTGGGCTGTCTGCAGCAAAACCAGCGTTCCTTTCCTTTTCAGCAAAGAGCTGGTAAGAGGAACCTCCCATCCCTTAGCATGTCCTTGAAGCTGATCATATCATCCTCTCTGTCATAGGGGTAATAAGGCTTCCCTGGGAAGTGCCTTTTCTTTTAACAGAATGGAAAAAGCAGCTCTATCTATCCTTGAAATTCAGTCACTGCTTTTGTGCTAAAATATTTCCACCTTCCTCTAGTTAACTTAGCTAGGAAAGTCTGTAGTTCTTTGTCTTAGGTCATGGATTTAGAAATTGTCCTGGACATGAGCAGTGGTGCAAATATGTCACAGAAAGTTATTGAGGTCTGAATGGGAGGCTAAGAGTAAAGGAGGAGTTGAAGTGTTAGCCTTGGGAGGATGGTGATACCCAGGAGAAAGAGGAAGAAGTTTGAGAGAAGTTTATATTTGGATATGTTGTCTAAGGGGCCTGTAAAGCTTCTAAAAGGCAACATCAAAAAGGTGTTTTGGTAGATGAGTGTGGAAATCAGAGAAAAGTCAGGGTTGGAGATTGAGATGAGGAAGTCACTGGGATATTGGTGGTATCACCATTAGGAGAGTGTGTGGAGAAAGAAGAGAAAGGCAAGTCTGGAATCCAGGGAATACCATCATTTTCTGTGTAGTAAGAGAAAGAGGGTGACTGAAAAGTAATGATAAGAAATTATCAGAAATTGGAGGAGAAATAGGAGAGTGTGGTACACAGAAATTGACAGTTTCAAATTTAAATGGTCAGTGTTGTCCATGAAATAGAACAACACTGAATGAAACAGCATAAATAGTGAAGAGACACATGAGATCTGTCAATCAGAAAGTTCCTGGTGATCTTTTGAAAGAAGTTCTAGCAAAATTGAAGAGTAGGAAGCCAGTATGAGGAGACTAATGATGGAACATGGGAAAGTAGAGATAGAAGGGAAATAAGTAGCTTGAGAAAGAGGCGAGTTGGGAGAAAAATTTCCTTTCCAAACATATGCATACATTTATAGGGGAGAATAGGTTGACAAGGAGGAGAGATGTGTGATGGAGTAAGCATACAGACAAGGCAGGACAAGGTAGGATCCTAGAGTGAACCAGTTGAACTCAAACTCAAGGACACTCCCTCTGAGATGGGAGAACAGAAAAGGAACAGTATAATATAGCTCAGTGTGGAAATACACATTTGGGGAGTTTTTTTCAGGGGGAGAGTTAAAATGTTTTATTGGTACATAATAATTACACAAAATAGTGGGTTTCACTGTGGCATCTTCATACATGCATATAACATAATTTGATCCATTTCAGGGGAGTTTTTTTTAATGGTCTCTTCCTCTGCAAAGTTGAAAATGATAATAAGAGGGTTAGGCATTGGGTGAGTGGCACGGAAGATTTAGTCACTGAGAAAAGTGGGAGAGAAAGGAGACAAGAAGTGATAAGAAAAAGGGTTGAGGGTGAAATTAATGCTCTCATATGTAGCCCTGCATAACATGGCTTTGGGATATCTAGATTGACCTAAGTTTAGGAATTGGTGATTGGGGGAGAGAATTAGGGCACTGATGATACTGTAAAATGATGGGAAGCTGGGAAGACCCTCTGGACTGGTGGAGCCTGCTTAGAGAGTCCAGTAAAGTTGAAGCAAATGCTCTGAAAGAGTAAGAACTAGTTATAATCTGGGAGTAGATTGTTGGAGTATAAGGTCTTGTAGGTAGAATGGTTCTAAATGCCAAAGAGGGTCTAGATATGGTGACTGAGCTGAAAAATGGGGTAAAGGTGACTGACATTAAAATATTTTTCAAATAAGTAAGAGGTAGTTAACTAGATGATATCAGAGTAAGTTGGATACTTGCCAGAGTCCTGGAGATAAGAGTTAGTGATGGAAAATAGATGAGAGTAATTACAGAGGAGGAGGGCAACTGACTAGGGTGGAAGCATGTTGGTAGAAGGACAGCAATGGGGAGCTCAGAGAATGTCTGCCCTGTATAGTCTCTTATATTGAGGCAGTAGAATGAATGGAGCTGTCCAGGGCAACTGTTGTCCTGAGGGGGAATTACAAATCACTTGGGTCTTGGAGGAGATATAAATGTTGGGATCCCAGAAACCTTGACAAAAGGGAGAGGATCAGATGGGAGAATGAGAAGGTACTAAGGTGAAAGGGAATGAGAATATGGGGAATGACCTGAGGCTGAAGAGGCATGACTTTTGAGCTCTTCAGCCTATCAAAAGAACAAGGGAGGGGGGTTTCATTCAGGCACAAGTTGCCCATATAAATGACCTTTAGTGCTGTTGTCAGATTGTGTTTCAGATGCAGCGATTGCTTGAGACAAATTGTAATACAGATCCTGGTTCCCCTTGGAGTATCAGATTCACCTGGGAGCCTAACTTCTGGACCAAGCAGCTGGCTTCCCTTGGTAAGCTAGGAACTACTCCGTGGGCTTTCAACAAATTGCTAAGAATAAATATAGGAAATCTTAACTTACTGATAGGTCAGGATATACCCAGGAAAAATCCTGAGATTGCCAGTGGTCATGAAGTCACTTTGCAAACTTTTTCTTTGTGTGTGTGTGTGTGTGTGTGTGTGTGTGTGTGTGTGTGTATGGCGGGGGAGGATGGGGCAGCTAAATGACAGAGGCAGTATAGGACTTTGTAATAACATTATAGAAGTCATGCCTATGTTGACAGCCTAATGAGCTTGTTAAAATAATGACCAACTGCTGCCTTCATTTGATGCCATTAATCTCACTGAAAGTTTTTTGAACTTGGCACAATGATAAGTGGTATTTAGATTTATTTTTGACTTCCCTCTTCCCTTTGATTTAATTCAGCATACCTTTGGTGGGCACCTGTTCTGGGTTAGGCACTAAAGGACCAAAGATGGATCAAACTCACCCCATGCCCTTTAGAAGCTGTCTTCCCCTAAGTAAATTTCATCTAAACAAGATCAATAATATAATCCATTCATGCACTAGGGGCCCAGAGATTCCAGAGGGCAGTGCTGGTATCTGGCATGACCTGGTATGGGAGCTTCCCTATGCTCTTCCATCTTACTTGCCCAACACACAGTTCCTCAGACTTGTATCTGGAGACTTATCCGAGAGATGCCTGTCTTACCTTTGCTACTTTTTAGCATATTCCCTTCCTACACCCAATGTTGATTCTTTTAGTCAGACTTTCCATAGGGCTGATGTGTTAGAAAACGAGTGGGTGCTATTTGAAGGAGCCCATGGTTTCCTTAGTAAGATAAGAACAGAGTCAGAACTGATAATCTGGTAAAAACAGCTAATTCTTAAATTTAACTGCCTGCTAAAGCAAGTTCTTGCAGGTGCTATTACTGGCAGCATTCTAGACTGAGTTTTGGAAATCAGAAGTTGAACTTATTAATCTTTACACTTGGTACAAGTTTGTTGAATAATGTCCTTTAGGCTTAGGGGCAGGAAGTAGCAAGTGGGGGGGAACAACTGCATATTACATTTTGAAAAACTCTCTGTTCTGAATTTCCAGGCTGCATAACTACTGAAGGTGGACAGCTCTCCCGGACAGATACTCCTGCTTATGGAGGTTTGCAGGGGCCATCTTCCTTTTATCAAAGCCACCAACCCCCAGTGGCTCAGCAAGAGGCTCTCAGCCACTCTTCACACAAGTTCCAGCCTCCGGCTTTGTGTTCTTCATCTGTGTGCTGCTCCCACTGCTCCCCCATCTCACCCTCCCTCAAAGGCCAGATCCCTCCACCCAGCATACACACAACCCAGAGTTTTAGACAGCCCTCTGAGATGATACCCCAACAGTTGGGGTCACTGCAGTGCTCTACCCTGCTGACCAGGGAGAAGGAGCTGGCCTGTAGCAGTCATCCCCCCAAACTGCTACAGCCATGGCTGGAAACCCAGCCCCCTGTAGAACAGGAAAGCACAACCCAGCGGCCTGGGCAGCAGCAGCTGACTTCCCAGCCCGTGTGCATAGTCCCACCACAGGACATTCAGCAAGGAACCCATGCTCAGTCCACCTTACAGACTCCCTCCATTCAAGTCCAGTTTGGCCACCACCAGAAGCTGAAGCTTAGCCACTTTCAGCAGCAGCCACAGCAGCAGCTGCCACCTCCTCCACCTCCACCACCTCCACCCCTGCAGCAGCCACCCTTACCTCTACCTCCATCCCAGCATCTGGCTTCGGGTCAACATGAGAATCCTCCTGGGCCTGCCTGTTCCCAGAATGTGGACATAATGCACCATAAGTTTGAGCTGGAGGAGATGCAGAAGGACTTGGAGCTGCTCCTCCAGGCTCAGCAGCCCAGCCTGCAGCTGAGTCAGACCAAATCTCCTCAGCATCTACAACAAACCATTGTGGGGCAGATCAACTACATTGTGAGGCAGCCAGCACCTGTCCAGTCCCAGAGCCAGGAGGACACCCTGCAGGTGAGCTGCCTCATCCAAGGACTCTTCAGAAAACTCAGCCTCTCCGGTCATAGGGTGGCACAGGAAACAGTTTCATCATCTTAGGGTGGCCTTAAGCTCAGACCTCACATTTCACAACTACCTTAGATTCAAGCTCCTACTTCAGAGAAGCTCCAGAGAACATAGTACTTAATCCCAACATAGATCTGGGCTTGAGGGATGGAGTGAGGTATTCATTAGATCCTAGTGGTTGGCACTTTCTAACACTATACAGACATTACTTAAACTTTATTCACATCTACTGAGCTATGCATATGGTTTTCTATAACCATATCATTTATCCATTAACACCATTGTTCAGTAGGCATCACCATGCAGAAGTAGGGGTTAGAGAGGGCAAGCAGTTTGCCTAGAGATTATACAATTTTTAGAAGTAGAGATAAAACTTGGAGCCAGGTCTTCTGACTTTTCTATAATGCCACATAAGAGGCCTTGTTCCTTCCTTAGGGGGAAATTGAATGCTGCTCCTCTAATTTCTCAGCTAAAATATAAATAATCGAAGAGGCATAGTTTGTACTTCTGGAATCTTTGCTGCATTCCATATCTTCATTCTTAGCTCCTGTTTTGTTTTATCTCCTGCTACAGCCCCTTGTCACTACGCCTTCTCACTTTTGCTGTGGTAGTGTCTCCTTTAAACCTATAACTACACTTACATCATCAAAGATTTTTTTGATTTTTACTTTAGATTTTTACTTTATTTCAAAATGTGAGGTCTCACAATTATGCTCCAACATTGACAACTTCAGATAATGCTTTAAATGACATCTCCAGCGACTTCAATCCTTTGAGAGGGGATATGGAATAATTATTGTGATGCCAGAAAAGGGCCCAGGGTTTATTGAGGACTGTAGCTAAATGTAAGTCAAAACTGTGTTATGGGGCTAGGGACGCAGCTAAGTGGTAGAGCACTCGCCTTGCATGCATGAGGTCCTGGGTTAGATCCCTAGCACCATAAAACAAACAACGCAAACCTGTATTATAACTGTTAAATTGCTGACAGAGTTAGCTCAGAATTCTTGTTTTTGATTCTATTATAAGACTATCACATTAGGATGTAGTTTTAGGAAAAGTTTAGATGACAGTATTTTTTTTTTTTTAATTTTAAGCAGTACACCATGTGTAGGTAGTAGCAGGAAGGGTACTGGATCTTGCTGTTGCTGCTACTCTCTGCAGTGAAACCCACCGAAGTTGTTATTCCCTCTTCTAGGTTACAGATGAGCCTCCAGCATCTGAGGGCCCAAAGCCAGCTCTCCCTCTTGAGAAGAATGTTGCTTCTTCCTTGCCTCAGACATCTGGGGAGGAAACTTCTCATAGTGTCCCCTCTATGGACAACACCAACCAGCACTCCTCTCCAAATGTGGTGAGAAAGGTACTAATGGAGACTGCTTCCCCTGACATGAGACCTACTGCCAGCCAAGACCCCAGGCACCTGGATGAGGATGATGGGTTGGGGGGAGGAGTGTCCCTATTCCATCCCTGGATGCTACACAGTCCTGATTCATGCCTTCTGTCCTAATGAATCAGCAACATAAGTCCTTCTTCACCTCCATTTCCACTCCCACATACATGCTTAAAATGGGGCCTACTGGGCTTCATTTAGGGGAAAGGGAAAGAGAGCCAATTTATTGATTGCTTACTCTGTGCTTAGAACTATATATATGGTCCCTCTCAAGCATTATGTCACTTAACCTTCCCAACAATTTTATCAGTTGGGCATCACCATTGTGTAGCTAAGGAAACTGAAGTCCAGAGCTCTATAGCCATAGAGGAAAGTGCTGAGGTTTAGTTAAGATAAGATCTGTTGTAATCCAGAGCCTGAACTTTTTCCATCCTATAATGAAAATGGGGAAAGTATTTTATGTAGCCTCCACAACCCAAAGTTTATTGCCTTAGAATTTGAATCAGTTGAATTTGTTGGGTAAGTTGTCTGCAGAGGTGTCCTGCAGAGGTAGCTGAGCACCTAGGGATACTGAGATCTCTTGAAGATGAATAATCAGAGGACTTCCTGTTTACTTGCCTACCAGCTTGCTAGCAGTGTTCATTTACCCTTGCAATAATCCAGATCCCCACAGCTCCTCATCTGTCTATTCTTCCTATGCCCTTCACCCCTACCCTTTACCTTCTTCTAGATTAGACCTCAGTACTGAGACATATGCTCCATTCACCCCTTCTTGTGTCCCTTGTCCCTGTTCCACTTATCCTATTTCTTTCTCAGATCTAGTGTCCTCAGTCTTCCTGGCGCATCCATCTAGACCTGGACTTGAAACTCTGTCAGCTATCTATACCCTCCTAGCTTGTTTCTTCAGCCTTACAACATCCCTCTGACTGTAGTCCAATTTCTGCTAGTTGCTTATTATACTGCTTCTCACTAAGTTTCTCCAGCTGCACCACCACCATATATGTCTTGGATCAGTAAATCTCCATAATTCTTGAGAGAAGAGTTTAGAAAAGGAAGGAATGGTAAAAATGAAATGTTAACTTGGAAATTTCTGGTGACTCTTGAAGTCTGGGAAAGCCTCTGATATTAGTGGTCTTTTGACTGTATCTTGCCTTTGAAAATTACTTGGCCTAGAAGCTCAAGGGATGCTGTAAATAGGCTTTTTGTAGTTCTTAAATATTTAATCTTATAAATTTGGGCCATCCATCCATCCATTTATTTATAAATTTAATGTTAAAAATAACACACACACATACACACACACACACACACACAAAAAAAAAAAAAAACACTCCACAAATCTCCTACTGTGTTTCAAATATTTTTCCAGCACACTTTGGTGGATAAGGTAGTTCTGTACTGTAGTTTACAGTCTAGTGGGAGAGATAAATAAGAAAAAAACAATAAATTATAATGAAGTACTGTGGTAGTCATTAAGGTGTACCCCATGGAGCAACGAACTCTGGGAGAGGGGGTGTTCACAGAACACTTCTCAGAAGACATATTTTTAAGCTGACATTTGAAGAAGTAGTTTGGCTAGTGAAGAGTGTAAAGACAGACTGCATCAGTTAAAGGGAATGGCAACTTGGAAGGCCCAAAAGGGAGAAAAAACCTGGGACACTTAGGGCTTCAGATAATCTGACTTGATAGGGTCACGAGATGCACTGTGAAGTAAGATTAACTGGAACCAGAGAGGTTGGAGGGCTTGTCAATTATGCTTGGAGTTGTGATTCAGTCTTGGGGCTAGGGTAGTAGTGACTGAAGGATTTCTAGTAAGGAGGGGCATGGCTTGAATTCAATTTGAAAGTCCACTTTAGTAGTGGTAAGGAAGTTGGATGAAATCAGTAGCTGTGGGAATGAAGAAGAAGCAAGGATTTCGAGAGCTATCTGATCATGAGTTTTGGATTGGGTGCCTGATTGACAATAGGAAAGCAGACAGAAAAAGACCCTTGGCTCAACACTTGGGTTTGTCTTGGCCCATTGAGATGGGAGCAAGGGAAAAAGAATATATTTGAGAGGACAAATAAGTTAAGTTTTGAATTATCAATATTGTCCTTTGAAAGATGCAGTAGAAAATGACCTGACGGGAGCTGTTCTAGGTGTCAGTAGTTCATCAGAAAGCCTAGGGCTTGCTATTGCTGAAAGCCATGCAGAAAATGCTGCTGCTTCTTTGACAAGGGTCAGTTCTGTTCCTGTACACAGCATGGAAACTGTGTTGCCTCTGTGATTGGCCTACAGGATTCTGTGAGCACCAAGAGGAAGCTGCTTTCCTATGTGACTGAAGGGTGGCAGTGGGGTTTGTGAAGATCCTAGGAACTCTTTCTCATTTTGGATTGCTCCTGGCTTTATGAATGAAGGCTTATGCAGAAGTTTGGAGGGGCAGATGACTTGGCATTTTTCAGATGTTTTATAAGCCTCTTCATGGCTTGGACTCCCAGAAAAAGGACCCTCAAGGTTGTCATTTTGGCTCATGAGTTGAGAGAGAGGGGTACTGGTTACAACAAAGCTCCTGCAATAAGAAAAAGGGCTTTCTTTTTGAGGAAATTCATTGCCTTGTAGATGGGGTTGGATGAGTTAGAGGGTTTGAGGCTTGAGGATACCAAACATTTTGAGTACCCTTATCATTGAATGATTTATACATTGTATAGTATTTTTCTACCTTTTCCATAGGTTTTTACATGGATCATTCCATTTTATTTTGTTTATCCTAGTAATACTATGAGGAAGACCTTTCTTATTCTCTTTGAAAGATGTGGAAACTGAGATACAGAAAGGTTAAGTGACCCACCTGAGTTATACAGCTGACCATGGGTAATGTTAGGATCAGAGCACAGTTCCTGACTCAACCCTATGCTTAATGATTAGGTTAAATTGCCTCTCTTTGTATGCTACAGTGGGAAATATAGAACTCCATTTGGCCTCTCACCTCTGGATTTTCCCATCTTTATAATCTTTGAAATAGTGTGGGGCCTTGCTGGAGAAGTCTTAGGACCCAGTCTCATTTGATAGTGCTTAATTTATCTGGTAAAGATATTTTGGCCTCTAGCCACTTCTTAGCCTATACTGGCCGATTAGTGCCAGGGAAGTCAGAAGTCTATCTAAAGATAAAAGACTCAAGAAACCTGTGGCACCAAGCATCTTTCTGTGTTCCATGCTGACCATAAGGGTGACAGAACAGAGCATCTGTGCACAAGGATGTTGGAGTTGGTGCTAAAAGAGTTCATGGTGAAGACAGATTGTGGTTGAAGACTGTGAAAGTTCTTGAATGGGTTTTCTAGAGGCCTAAGCTCTGCCCTCTTAGAAGTCATTTATCCTACCAACTTCTTTGCATCCAACAGGATATTTTAAAGTGAATTTGGACATTTATCTGGTACTAGCTGTTGTCTAAAAGTCCCAATCTTTGTTTAGCTACTCTGAAGAAATATCATGGTCACAACTCTGCAACAGAAAACCCCTTACATTCCAAGAAAAACTGGAAGACATTTTGGTGGCTTCTTTTTGTACTTCTGGACTAGTCAACTGCTGAAG